ATTCTGTATGCCCTAGATTTCGACAGAGGGAGAGTCTTGGACCAGGGAGAGATGTACAGAATCATATGGAGTGAGTGAAGTCTTTGTTTGCATTGCATTGTCAGGATGGGGAATTGTGTCAGAATAATAATAATAATAATAATAATGTAATACAATATAATACTACTAATAATAATGCAATTTTATTTATTTATTTATTTATTTGGAATTTTTCTCTTCTCGACCTCCAGAGAGGGACTCAGGCCGGATTACAACAAGATTCATAAACAGTAGTTTAAAAACATCACACCATATAACACACAAATACATAAAACACATTAAAAGCAATCATATAATTACATAAAGCCAAGTCATCCAAAAAGAATCACAATTCATTACCATCCGTCCGTGTGGTCAGAAGTTCTTGACTCACTCATCAAATGCTAAATTCCAGAGCCAAGTTTTCACCAGTTTTCTAAAAGTCAGGAGGGAAGGGGCAGTTCTAATCTCCAGTGGGAGAGAGTTCCAGAGCCGAGGGGCCACCACCGAGAAGGCCCTGTCCCTCGTCCCCACCAGACGCACTTGCGAGGATGGTGGACCGAGAGCAGGGCCCCTCCAGAAGATCTTAACAACCTTGATGGTTCATGGGGAGAATCCGTTTGGACAGGTAAACTTGGCCAGAGTCATTTAGGGATTTATAGGTTAACACCAGCCCTTTGAATTGTGCTCGGAAGCTAATTGGCAGCCAGTGGAGCTGGCGCAACAGAGGAGTAGTATGCTCCCTGTACCCCGCTCCTGTTAGTTATCTGGCTGCTGCTCGTTGGACTAGTTGAAGCTTCTGGGCAGTCTAGAGAGCGTTGCAGTAGTCTATACGGGATGTAACCAGAGCGTGGACCACCGTGGCCAAGTCAGACTTCCCAAGGTACGGGCGCAGGTGGCGCATAAGTTTTAATTGTGCAAAAGCCCCCCTGACCACCGCCAAGACCTGAGGTTCCAGGCTCAGCGATGAGTCCAGGATCACTCCCAAACTGCGAACCTATGCCTTCAGGGGGAGTGTAACCCTGTCGAGCACAGGCTGTAACCCTATGCAATATTACTAATATTACTAATAATATTACAATATAATGGTGTAGTACAATATAGTAATATATAATACTGATATTGTACTATGCTAATAATTTAATATATTGTATGTATATATATCTTGTAAATATTGTATGTATATATATCTTGTATATCTGAGTCCCCTTCGGGGTGAGAAGGGCGGCATATAAATGTTATAAATAAATAAATAAATAACTCTCTGTGCTTGAATTAATGTTTGTTGTCTCCTAGGGCTGCCCTGAGAGGTGGAATAACATAGTCCTGGAATAACATAGTCCTCTAATATTACAAATTGTTTTTATTAAAAGTTTTATAACAGTACAACACTTGTATCTATGGGCCTAGTACTTGTGGTTTCATTTACACACAACAGAAAATATATGTTCTCTCTAGGCATGTTTTGGGTTCTAGTGCAATTCCATGGTTGACCAAGGTGTCATGCTGGAGGACCTAGAATGATGTCCTATCTCCTTATTGCTAGATCCTCCAGAATGATTTTATAGTATACTTCCACCAGAAGGTGAACTTAAATTCATGCTGGAGGACCTAGAAATGCTTACCGAGGTGTTCCTCTAGGCTTTTTCTACATTCTTCAGCACAATTCTACGATATTCTTCTGCCAGAAGTCATTCCTTTCGATAATGTCCATTATTCATGGTTTCACACTTCCATGGTAAGTCTAGGATGTGAGTGGTTATATTATGTCATATTTTTTGTTGCAGGCTGAGGACTATAAATTAGTTGAGTTGAGCTATATTTCACAAGAAGGAGCTAGCAGAACCACTTTATGATATTCCTCACCGAAGAAAACACTATGGAATTCATAGGGTCTCCATATGTTGAGATGAGACTTTGGGAATCATGAATGTAGCTCCAGATAACAGGATCTAAAACTGTTCTTTGCACTGTTTTTGATTTAGGTGCCCATATTTGTTATCAATGTTACGTAGTAATTTGAGTGTTGGATTACAACTCTGAAGACCAGGGTTTGAAGCTCCACTTGATCATGGGTGACCTTGGGGAAGTTGTACACTCTCAGTTTCAGAAAACCTTCTGAAAGGGTCTCCTTAGGGTTGCGGTAAGTCAGAAATGACTCAAAGGCACACAGTAGGAGCAGCAACAACAACAGGATCTACAAGCATTCCTTTTTTTTGAACTTTGACTTCATGTCATTGTTTGAATGCGAGTAATCACACACGTCTTCTGTTAAGTAAATAAATAGGGGGAGGGGGAAGTGGATTGAAAAGATTTGAGAGAGGTATTTGACCTTTAGATTCAGGAGAAAAAAAAGACTTGCATAGAAACTAAAAACTACCAGTGTCAGCGAAGAGAGGATGGATGTCCAAGGAATCCCAGAGGACCAGATTCCGATCCAGAGTATGAGGTTCTCCACCCCTGCTCAACACCAGGTTTCCGAAATCTATACAGGCTAAAACCTGGAACCTCAATCCATGGCTGATACCAAATGAGAGACTCCCTCCTGGGCACATACAAGACTGGGCAACTTGGAAGGCGCTGAAAAGACTGTGCTCTGGCAACACAAGATGCAGAGCCCACCTTAAGAAATGGAGCCACAAAGTGGAGTCCACGACATGCAAGTGTGGAGAAGAGCAAACCACAGACCACCTGTTACAATGCAGCATGAGCCCTGGCACATGCACAATGGAGGACCTTCTTGCGGCAACACCAGAGGCACGCTGATGGCCATGAAGGTTCTGTGGGCCAAGTTTGGTTCAGATCTGTCATTCATGGGGGTCTTAGTGGTCTGTGGAAGTCTAAGCTGAATCAGTTGAAGATACTCCAAACCCCATCATGCGTTGTCCATACACCTCAAACTTATTGTTTTTGTGATTAATCAGCATGCTTTAATTATGTTCAATTTATAACAACTGAAATACAATGTATTGTCGAAGACTTTCAACATAAATACATCTTGCATATCAGATATTTACATGATGATTCAGAGGAGTAGCAAAATTACAGTTATGAAGGAGCAACAAAATAGTATTATGGTTAGGGGTAACCACAACATGAGGAATTGCATTAAGGGGTTGTGGCATTAAAAAAAGTTTAGAAACACTGCTAATGACATTCTATAAAAATAAATACAATACTGACTGTGTATTTATGATTAACATAAATTAAAAAACCACTGGGAGAATAGATACCACATTTGGACAAAATACATATATCACGCCAACAAGTGACCATCACTTATAAAAACACTGAAAAACACAGCAGAAGAGACTAAAAAAGCAAATTTTTTTACAATGCATGCACAAAACAACATATTTCCACATATACACAAATATATACACACATATAGACTATTCTAAAGCCTTTGACTGTGTGGATCATAATAAATTGTGGCAAGTTCTTAGTGGGATGGGCATCCCAAGCCACCTTGTCTCTCTCCTGAGGAATCTGTACAAGGACCAAGTAGCAACAGTCAGAACTGACCACGGAACAACAGACTGGTTCAAGATTGGGAAAGGCGTAAGGCAAGGCTGCATCCTCTCACCCAACCTTTTTAACTTGTATGCAGAACACATCATGCGATGTGCGGGGCTGGATGAATGCAAAGCTGGGGTGAAAATTGCTGGAAGAAACATTAACAACCTCAGATATGCAGATGACACCACTCTGATGGCCGAAAGCGAGGAGGAGCTGAGGAGCCTTCTAATCAAGGTGAAAGAAGAAAGCGCAAAAGCCGGGTTGCAGCTAAACGTCAAAAAAACCAAGATGATGGCAACAAGAATGATTGACAACTGGAAAATAGAGGGAGAAACCGTGGAGGCCGTGACAGACTTTGTATTTCTAGGTGCAAAGATTACTTCAGATGCAGACTGTAGCCAGGAAATCAGAAGACGCTTACTTCTTGGGAGGAGAGCAATGTCCAATCTCGATAAAATAGTAAAGAGCAGAGACATCAGAATGGCAACAAAGATCCGCCTAGTCAAAGCCATGGTATTCCCTGTAGTAACCTACGGATGTGAGAGCTGGACCTTAGGGAAGGCTAAGCGAAGGAAGATTGATGCTTTTGAGCTGTGGTGTTGGAGGAAAGTTCTGAGAGTGCCTTGGACTGCGAGAAGATCCAACCAGTCCATCCTCCAGGAAATAAAGCCCGACTGCTCACTGGAGGGAAAGATACTAGAGACAAAGTTGAAGTACTTTGGCCACATCATGAGAGGACAGGAAAGCCTAGAGAAGACAATTATGCTGGGGAAAGTGGAAGGCAAAAGGAAGAGGGGCCGACCAAGGGCAAGATGGATGGATGGCATCCTTGAAGTGACTGGACTGACCTTGAGGGAGCTGGGGGTGGTAACGGCCGACAGGGAGCTCTGGCGTGGGCTGGTCCATGAGGTCACGAAGAGTCGGAGACGACTGAACGAATGAACAACAACAACAACATACATATACACACACAAAATATATATACACAGACTGGGCCACAGCAACGCGTGGCAGGGGACAGCTAGTGATAAATAAATAAATAGCATTTGGCAAAGAACCATCGTGAAGATCCAACTAGACAGGACATGAATGGGAAATAGGCGCAAGTGTGAGTGTGTGTGACATGCTTGACTGGGAAAACACACGGAAGGACTTGTCGAACCTTACAGTAGCAACCAGACAATAGGGGAAGACAGAGGTGCCCTCGTTCCCATAATCCCCAAAGTAAAAGCTGTAAGTGAGATATACTGCCTATTGAAGTGGGTTGTTTTTATAGCATCTTTTCCCCGTACTGGAAGCGTGCCATGCTGTGGAAATTCATGCTGGGCTTCGGTTGCACAAAGAAGGCACCATAGCAACCGGATTGTTCAGAGGTTGTTTTAAAAAAAAAACCCAAAGTTGGGCCAGTAACTAATCATTTCTTTTCTCCCCATTTGGCAGCCGGCCACCTGCTCAGTATGAGACTGTACCAAGTGGAGGGAGGGACTGCCGGGCTGGAGAGCAGGAGGCTGAGGTTTAATCATTGAACCGGCCACAGTGTATAGATGTGGCTGCTCCACGGGATTCTCAGAAATCGCTTGGGAAATGGCACGGCGGCTGAAGACGTCCTGTCAGAGCAATCTTACTGTGTGAAGAAGACCAGGAGTTATTAGTTCAACAACACAGTGGTTCTGTCTGCTTCAAAGAAACTGGGAAAATGTTCGCTGTACACTTGGTGGCCTTCTATTTTACAAAACTAAAAGAAGATCAGATCAAAAAGGTAAGCTTTGATTGTGCTGGATTATATTTATTTATTCACGACATGTATATGCCGCCCTTCTCATCCCGAAGGCGACTCAGAGTGGCTTACAAGATATATATACATACAATATATTATTAGCACAATATCAGTATTATATATCACTATAGTGTACTATACCATTATATTATTAGTAATATTATATGTGATATAAAATATATAATTATAATATTGTATTATTATTAGTAATAGTATTATATTGTACTAGCTGTCTCCTGCCAGGCGTTGCTGTGGCCCAGTCTGCTGATCTGGAAAATAAAGTAATTTAGAAGTATTGGTTTCTAATATATGTAATTTCTTTATATTGTCGAAGGCTTTCATGGCTGGAATCACTGGGTTGTTGTAGGTTTTTCTGGGCTATATGGCCATGTTCTAGTGGCATTTTGTCCCACCCTGGTCATTCCATAGATAGATAAACCCATTTTCCTATTTCCAACAGACCTTACTACCTCTGAGGATGCTTGCCATAGATGCAGACGAAACGTCAGGAGAAAATGCCACTAGAACATGGCCATATAGCCCAGAAAAACCTACAACAACCCAGTAATTTATTTACTTTACTTTATTTCTATACCGCTTTTCTCAGCCCTTAGGCAACACAAAGCATAATTTCTTTATGCTTGTGGGTAAAAGGTATTTCTTGCTGTTTCTTTGTCAGTGATGTAGAGATTGTCTCATTTGCCTATTCTGGAACACACAACATATTATTGTCCCTTCAGATCTATGATACTATATCTCTGTATGTGTGAATCATATGTATCTATCTATATCTATGGCTGGATGGCTCTTTGTCAGGAGGGCTTTGATGACATTTTCAGAGTTTCCAGAGTTGGACTGGATGGCCTTAAGTATTTTCTGTTGGTCATGGGGGTTTTGCGAGGGAAGTTTGCCTCAAATCTGTCATTGGTGGGATTAAGAATGCTCTTTGATTTTAGGAGAACTATAAATCCCTGTAACTACAACTCCCAAATGTCAAGGTCTATTTTCCCCCAAACCCATGTGTTCATATTTGGGCATATGGAATATTGTGCCAAGTTTGTATCCAGATCCATCATTGTTTGAGTCCACAGTTCTCTCTGAATGTAGGTGAACTACAACTCCCAAACTCAAGGTCAATGCCCATCAAACCCTGCTATTGTTTTCTGTTGGTCATGGGAGTCCTGTGTGCCACATTTGGTTCAATTCCATAATTGGTGGAGTTCAGAATGCTCTTTGATTGTAGGTTAACTATAAATCTCAGCAACTACAACCAGAGGTGGCCCTAGGTAATTTTCAACGGTAAACAAACAGTATTTTGCCCCCCCCCCCCCACCAATCACTGATATATATTTTCTGTTAGTCGTGGGAGTTCTGTGTGCCATATTTGGTTCAATTCCATCATTGGTGGAGTTCAGAATGTTCTTTGATTGTAGGTGAACTATACATCCCAGTAACTACAACTCGCATATGTCAAGGTCTATTTTCCCCCAAGAGCGCCCCTGGGCAAAATCAACTATACTGCAAATGCCTGCTTTGCGTAATGGGTTGAGCCGCCCCTGACTACAACTCCGAAACGACAAACTCAATTTTTGAGTGATGGTCACTCCTTGGGTTAGTAGGTATCTTGAGGCCAAATTTGGCGGCAATTCATCCAGTGGTTTTTGAGTAATCCGACAAATGAACATTACATTTTTATTTATATAAATTAGCTGTCCCCTGCCACGCGTTGCTGTGGCCCACATGGGGGTTCTGTGTGGGAGGTTTGGCCCAATTCAATCGTTGGTGGGGTTCAGAATGCTCTGTGATTGTAGGTGAACTATAAATCCCAGCAACTACAACTCCCAAATGTCAAGATTCTATTTCCCCCAAACTCCACCAGTGTTCACATTTGGGCATATTGAGTATTTGTGTAGAGTTTATTGCATTGTCGAAGGCTTTCATGGCCGGAATCACTGGGTTGTTGTAGGTTTTTTCGGGCTATATGGCCATGTTCTAGAGGCATTTTCTCCTGACGTTTCACCTGCATCTATGCAAGCATCCTCAGAGGTAGTGAGGTCTGTTGGAAGTAGGAAAATTGGTTTATATATCTGTGGAATGACCAGGGTGGGACAAAGGACTCTTGTCTGCTGGAGCTAGGTGAGGAAACACAACATACAAACTATCTACAGACCCACTATGAAAATCCAACAAATGCTACGTTCAGCAAAGGACAAGAGGGATCCTCTCACTTCTGCAGGAGTCTACCGTGTACCATGCAGCTGTGGACAAGTCTACATAGGGACCACCAAACGCAGCATTGCCCAAACACGAATCAAGGAACATGAAAGGCACTGCAGACTACTTCAACCAGAGAAGTCAGCCATAGCAGAGCACCTGATGAACCAACCTGGACACAGCATATTATTTGAGAACACAGAAATGCTGGACCACTCTCACAACCACCATGTCAGACTACACAGAGAAGCCATTGAAATCCACAAGCATGTGGACAATTTCAACAGAAAGGAGGAAACCATGAAAATGAACAAAATCTGGCTATCAGTATTAAAAAACTCTAAAATCATAACAATAAATAAAGAACAAATCTCAAACACTGGGGAACTCTAGAGAAGAAACAACCAGGAACAGCTAACAAAGAATTCCCCCAGGCAGCAAGAAGGCACACCTAAAAACTGTCAGGCCATCAAATGCTAATCAAGGTGGCCAGTTGAAACATTCACACCTACCTCAAACAGACAAGAGTTCTTTCTCCCACCCTGGGCATTCCACAGATATATAAACCTGTTCTGGAATAGCCGCACCAGGAGCTCCAGCTTATCTTGCTATTTGTTGATTGCTGCATGCATTTTGAAGTTCTATGCCTTTGCAGTTAGATGGCTTTCCTTACTTTGCAGTTATTGGGTCAATTGCTTGTCAATTATTTTTAGATTCCCTAGTCCCGCCCCCCCTTTTTGGCTTTGGAGGGAAGTGAGCCATTTTGTTAGTTAGTCTAAGCTAGGTTCGCCAATGTATAGGATGTGTGTAGCTTCCCCTGTACAAAGGCTTTAACCTTTAAGAATCTCCAGGGAAAGAACGCTAGGGAAGCATTCCACAGCTTTAAGCAATCCAGGGGAGAACAGCTTGAAGAACTTCAGGAAAACAGCCTTAAAGACTAAAGAACTCCAGCTGGAGAACATCCACTGCATTGCTGGTAGGTCCACTCGGCGTCCAAGAAGCAGTTCGGCCCGGTAGCGGAGCACGCATCAGCGAGGGTTGGATTTTAGTCAGCCTGGGAGAAGTTAAAAAGGGGAATTTTCCTTTAAAGAAAAGTTATTGAAGATAGTGCCTGTCCCCTGTGGACAAGAAGAGAGAACCAATACTTTATCAAGAAAGCCTTGCAGTTCCTGTTTGATTTCATTAATAAAAGACTTTGTTGTACTTCTCTAGCCATCTGAAATTTCTTTCTAAAGGAAGCCTCTGAGAACTTCTCCTTAGGCCCCTGGTTTCCCGCTGGGCAAAGGTTACACATCCCCCCGCCGAAATTCTCAGGGTGGTCCGTGAGAAGGCCTTACTGGTACGTGGCATGGTGGCGTCCTTGTCTGCGCCTGGGCCCTCGACACACTCTCTTTCCTTTTTGGTGCCCCTGGTTTCAGCCTTCGGTGCTGGAAGAGAAAGGGGAGTGCGCCGACAGCCTAGGCGCCAAAGAGGATGCCTCCGCATCACAGACCATTCGGAGGCCGCAATAGGCCTTCACACCCGTGCATTGAAGTCTCGTCACACTCGTGGCTGGGAGCGTGACGAGAGCTCTTTTGCCTCACCAACTATAAATCCCCGCATTCCAAAAGTTCTGTTTTTTTGATACTGTGAGCCACTTTGAATCCTACTCAGGAGAAAAGCGATAAAGGTTTCCTATTGACTGACTTTGCAAGGGAGCGGGGTGCTCATCTCCATTTCTAAGCCAAAGAGCTGTCGTTGTCTGTAAATACATCCAAGGTCATGTGGGCACCAGCATGACTGCATGCAGAAGCGGTACCTATTGATCTACTCACATTTGCATGTTATTGAACTGCTAGGTTGGAAGGAGCTGGGCCTAACAGTGGGAGCTCATCGTACTCCCCAGATTTGAACTACTAACCTTCTGATCAGCAAGTTCTGCAGTTTAGCGATTTAATCTGCTGCGCCACCGCAGCCCTTAATTAATAATTAAGTGATACGTAAGTAATAATGCAACCATAGCTATTAATGTGGAATCAAAGTGCAACTGTGCAGTGTGAAAAAAAAACAAGTATGACTTGATGCTAAAGCAGTCTAATGGATAGAGACCCGAGATTGTGAAATTGCCCATCCATGATTGGCACCAGAGCAGCAGACGTAACAAGCACACAGTTTACTTGGCCCATTTTTTGGTAAATTAGATATAGCTATATATCAATATAGACACTAATGATATATGTTTGTTATTGATTTTGCTATGGTTTTATATTATTTTAATGTTTTTAATTGTATTTTATGATCTTGGTACCTACTGTGAACCGCCCCAAGTCACCTACAGGCTGAGAGGGATGGTATATATGTATATGTTGTTGTTCATTCATTCAGCCGTTTCCGACTCTTTGTGACCTCATGGACCAGCCCATGCCAGAGCTCCCTGTCGGCCGTCACCACCCCCAGCTCCTTCAAGGTCAATCCAGTCACTTCAAGGATGTATATACATGTATATAGTAAATCTATAATGTAATGTTCGTTTGTGGTATTCACAGAACTCAAAAACCACTGGACGAATTGACACCAAATTTGGACACAAGACACCTAACAACCCAATGTATATCCTTCACTCAAAAAATTATGATTTTGTCATTTGGGAGTTGTAGTTGCTGGGATTTATAGTTCACCTACAATCAAAGAGCATTCTGAACCCCACCAATGATGGAATTGAACCAAACTTGGCACACAGTTCCCCATGACCAACAGAAAATAATGGGTTTGGTGGGCAGTGTCCTTTG